TTTACACATGCTATAATGATTTCATTTTAGATAAGAGTTTTTTCACATATTATTTTTGTTCTGGAACTTTTCCTGGTAGACATTTACATCTGTTAGAATTACATTCTTATGGGTTAGAAACTACCACTTAAAATGAATACTGCATCCCTTTACAATGACAAAAAAAAATAGACCCCAAAAAGAAAGAATGGATGTCCATCACCTCAGCAATAGCCAGATAACCTTACTATGAGCTCCCTGAATCAAAAACAGACCATAAGTTAATATATTCATAGGCAAATCCTAGTAAGTTCCTGCTGAGGTTTATTAAATTCAATGGGACTTTTTCACATTGATTATCAATTTATATGCTGTCTATCTTGCCAAAGGCAACTCTACAGACAATATATGAAATATATTGGAGAAAAAAACCCCCACAAACATACAGATCAAATATTTTACGATTAGAAAGTGCTCTGTATTTCATAATATTCCCTTTCTAGGAGAGATGCCCTTGTTTTATTTATTTATTTTTTTTAAAGTTTTCCCACACTGAATTTCAATAGCTCTTTATTAACACTGGTCCTATCATTTGAAAAGCTTAACTTTGTTGTTGCTGCTGACAAATGGAATATACTGTTTAAGGTTTGATTTTTAATAGAACAATACAATCTTTGATGAAATGCATGAAAATCAAATATAAGGATAACATTGGGAAATATGAAATGGATTAAGTTCTTCAAGTCGTTAGAATTTTTTCTCATTCTTACTTGCAGACAAGTGGCAGATAAGTATTTGCATCTTTGTTAGTGCTACTACATAAGACTGATAATGTACAGATTCAATAATGTAGTACAAATCTATTCCAAGAAAAACATAATATACACTTGTGTATCAATTTTCCTCCCTAAGTGAGCATGTTTTGCTGGAGAAAATACAATATGTTGCAACTGCATCTCTTCTCTATCCAGGAAATCAGGCAATCCGGCTTTTCCTCTAGTTTCAAACTAAACTGGTCAAAGGAAATAGGCAAAATTTAAATTTGTATGGGCTACATGGCCAAAAAAAAAAAAAAATCTAGGAAGCTTTAAACTGTTTAAGGGTTTCTGCATCAAGATTTATTCCATTGTTACACAACTTATTTTAACGTATTAGCAACACTCAGTATTCACACAGTGGTTCACTCCAAAACTGAGATGATAACACCAGCATCTAGCTAACCTTGGTTGATCTCAAAAAAGAAAATTAAGGATTCATCTGAATAGTGTTTGGATTGAGAGTCATTAAAAAAAATCTTAGGAGCAGGCCAAGAAATAAATAGTTCCTGGAAAAAGAAGTGGCAAAGTATTCCATGTAGCAGCTCATGTGAATGAGGTTATCAATAAATCTCTCTCCAAGTCAAAGATTTACTAATTAATTAGGATTCACAATTCTTTTATTGAATCTTGGTAGACATTTTAGTTCAATATGAGCCCAATTTTCAATATATACATATGAATGCATGGTACTGAGAACAGAACTATAAATCACTAATATTCACATGATCTTCAATCGAGTACATATTAATTTTATAAAATTAAAGTAGTTACCAATAATAAATATTAAGAAAAAGGTCATTTCCAATTTTGTTTTAATCATGGACAACCTGTCTCTGAGAAAGTGTAGTGGCTCATGTGGTTAGAAAGCTGGGGTGACAATTAGCAAGCCTGTGTTCACGATCCGAGTGCTACTGTGTGATGGGGTGAGCTCCCATCATTTGCCCCAGCTCCTGCCCACCTAGCACAGGGGTGTCAAACTTGATTTCATCGAGGGCCACATCAGGGTTGTATTTGACCTTGGGGAGCCAGGGTGGGCATGGCCAGCTCGATGTCACTTGTGTCAGGGGCGCCTGTGCTCTGCCAGAGAAAATGGGCTCCTGAGCTCCGTTTTCGGCTGCAACAGCCTCCTGCAACCCTCTGCCAGAGAAAATGGAGCTCCATTTTCACTGGCAGAGGCAGTGTGGGCTGGTCCATTGCTGTTTCCAAGGTGGCCCCACGGGCCAGATCTGAGCACCTCGCGGGCCAGATCCGGTCCCTGGACCTTGAGTTTGACACCCCTGACCTAGCAGTTCAAAAGCACACAAACATGAGTAGATAAATAGGTACCACTTCGGTGGGCACATTAATGGGGACATGAAAGGAGCCTCCAACCAGCATGCCCGCAGGCAATGGTGATGTCACCAGCTAATCCTTTCAACTCGAAGTACCTTGATGCTTCTGACATGAATATGAAAGAGTGGGAGATGTCTATTGGATAGATACTATGGAAGATGTACATGATGTTCCTACTTAGTAGTCACTGAAACATCCTCACTCAGGCGTAAATCTCCATTGTCTGAAATATGGATTTAGCTACTGGTTAATGAGAATAATAACAGCATTAATATATGCAATTAATGGAGCACTGTGACCTGAAAATATCAAGAAATTTTACTCTTCAGAGATTTGCCTCTGGCCAGGCACCGAAGCAAAAAAAAAGAACTTGAAGGACTGTGCAAAATTATTCTTTTCTCTTTGCACTATGTAAACCTGAATGAAGATACACATGTACAAAAATATGTATCAATATATGTATCAATTCCCAAATTATACTTCCATATTGTGGAGTTGATACATATTTTTGATACATAGTTTGAACAGGCAATTCCAACTTTCCTCTATGACAAGCACCATACTTGCCCCAAGGCAAGGATCGTCTAGAGAAAATGTTTGGGACTTTTTTCTTCATACTTACATATCTCTGAAAAAGTTATCTCTTTTCTACAATCTAGTGTTGACATAACAAGATACCTTAGCATAGCTTTTTTTCTTGACAAGGTGCCTCAATGATTGATATGTCGCAAAGAGGCACAATTTCCTCCAACAACATCTGCTCTGTTCCAAAAACTTCTGTTGAATTTCTACATTCAAAATTAAAATCAACCATTAGCAGACACACAGATAAACCACACTGACACAACATTGAGAAAGAGATGATTAAAAAAAAATTAAGAAGGAAAAACCAGTTTGGTGTAGAGGTTGAAGTGCTGGCACAGAAACCAGGAGACTGCGAGTTCTAGTCTGGCCTTAGGCATGAATGCCAGCTGACTTTGGCCAGTCATTTTTTCTTAGTTAACCAACCTACCTCACAGGATTATTGTAGGGAAAACAGGAGGAAGGAATATTACATATATTTTTCTGCCTTGACTTACTTATAATGTAATAAAGGGGGGGGGACTCTAATAAATAAAAAAAAAAGACCAGAACACATCCTCTCCAGCAGCCAACACTCAGATAAGCAGGAATTAATACCAGCAAACAGAAAACAATACCCTAATCAAAGAACTACCAAGGAGAAAACTGCACCCCCACCAACAATAGCAGGACAAGCTACTATATATAAGTAGGAAACAAACTCCACATTCACACTGATGTATTTGGATAATAAAACATCTGCAAGCAAACAAGACTCAGAGAGCACCAAAGATTCCAGGGTTTACTCCGGAAGCTCACTGAGACTGAAGAAACTAACTTGGATAAGCAACAAAACATTTCAAACCAAAAAGGAAGTCCAGTTGCCATGACTCAAACTTCCAGACAACTCTACCTGGATGACTGAAAATCTTCATATACATACTCCTGAACTATATATATATTTCTTCTACTGGAATTTCTACTTGTTACCAAATGTTAACAATGCACAGGTACTATATGGCTAAGAAACTGGTGGAAATCATATTGGGAGTATTCTCCTAGTGCATAAGATCTTGACAGAAAATATGTCCCTTGAACAGATTATCAAGCAGAAATTTAAGAGGCATCACTTCCTCACAACCTACGAGAGGAATATACCCAGTTAAATGTTTTACACTGAAAAAACATTTAGCTTTAAAAATAGGGGTACAACTCTTTCAGAACTGCCGCTTACTCTTGAATTTTTTTTATTATGGACATGCTATGTACTTATTAGCCTTTTTTTTTTAATATGACCTACTGCACCGTTATCTTATTTAAAACTACAGTAAATTATTTGTTTCCAAATACAAGGAAATGATTAAAAAGTGGTTTAGAAGGCCAGTAGGAACACCAGAAGGGAGGGGAGTTTTCTCACTCAAATTTCACGTTTCAATCTTTGTTAATAGTCAGGAATAGTCAGGAAAGATTTATATATCTATAAAATATCTATCAATCATCTATCAATCATCTATATCTATCTGAAATTTTCTTTACTCATTACCTTAAACCCAGTTCAATCCTCTTTACAGGTAGAGAAAGGTGTTTATTTCTGAATTCCAAGGCAGGATATTTGTTCAGGTGGGAAAATTACACATTTCATATTGCCTTTTCATTATTCTCATCAGCGCAGTCCTACAATAATGCACTTAATACATTAAAACTCTTTGAGGCTGACATAATAATAAACATTCCGTCGAATTATTCCATCCATCTGCTGATGGAAATCGACCAGACTTCACTTTGCATCCAACACATTCGCTCTGCGCTCCAATCCTAAAGCAGGCATAACTCGGAACCGAATCGGACGAATTGGAATGACACCGCCGATTAAACTGTGCCCGGAACCGCCGCCGTTTTTAAATCCCGAAGTGGTTTCCTTTCGTTTTGTTCATTCATCCGCGCAGTCCGGAGGGGCGGCGACCGGGTAGAACGCGATAGAATGGTACAGCCCGTTCCCACATGCAATTCCCCAGGCTCAGGGCTGGCTCGCCCTTCCAGCTTGTCCCAGAACCGCTGGCCATTTTGGGAGGGCGGAAACCCCCCCGACGCCGTCCTCCGCACACCCAACGGGCAAGCAAACGCGGTCCGCGCTCCCAAGCTCCACGTCAAAACGAAGTCTAGCCTTTCTCTCCCCCACCCCCGCCAAAAAAAGAGAGGACAACTTTAAAGCTCACCGTCGAGGAAACAAGTAACACTCCGTTTCCACCGCCCGTAAAAACCGTGTGAAGCCCGCACTCTGGGAGACCAATAAGAGCTGGCGGCGCTTACCTTCTGGGGAGACAGGTTGGCGGGCAGGGTTTGGCGCTCTTTTCACCGGGGAGGGGGGGACGAGAAAGAGACACCCCCCGCCTTCGCCTCCGTCCGCTTACCCACGCCTCAGCCCAGAAGCCCCGACTGGGCTGCTGGCTTCGCCGCTGTGTGTTTGTAACCCCTCATGTTCGGAGAAGGCGGCGACCCTATTAGGAAAGTTGGGCGGAGAAAGAGGGGGAAAAGGAGCAGGTGCAAGCGGTTTGCGCGCCTCCCAACTTGCGGAGTTGGGAAAAGCCGAAAAGGGAGGTGGGAAGAGGGAAAACTGCTCCTGTGAGAAAAAGGAGGGAGAGCGAGAGAGAGAGAGAGAGAGAGAGAGCGCGCGCGTCTCCTCTCTCCCTGGCTGGGCTCTGCGCTCCCGTGCACACGCTGCAAATGAATGTAATGTGACATTGGGTGACTGGTGCCTGGCTGCTGCTGCTGCTGGCTGGCTGGCCTGGCGAAGGGGAGGGAGGGAGGGAAGGGGAAAGAATTGCTCTCTTCACGGTTCACTTCCAGAGACTCGACCCAGGTGAAGGGAAGCAAGGCGCTCTCCGAGAGGGACGCGACAACCTAGCCCAACTGTGGGGCTACATTTTCTGAGCTGAAAGCAAAAAAAAAAGGCGGCCTTCAGTAACAGAGTTGGGAGGGACATTGGAGGTCACCTAGTCCAACCCCCTGCTCCAACCCCCTAGTCTAGACCTATACTAGAGATTCGAACCGCCGACCTTTCTGATCGACAAGCTCAGCGTCTTAGCCACTGAGCCACCTTCGTTCATATGTGCATGCATAAGCAGCTCATAACGACGATGGGGTTTTTTTGGGGTGGGACCGTAGTTAAAGAGGCGAGGCTGGTTTTCTCCTTGTTCATTTCTCTCCCCAATTAGAGGAAGTTGACAAAGAGCAGCTGGCTTCATTTGTTTCCTTCCAAGAGAGTGCATGAGTTCAGACCTTGGCTTACCTGCACTGGGAAGTAACCATTATATTATTATCTCCAAATAATGCATGCACGTATAGGTGCCTTATAGATTCATTCCTATTCTTCATATTTATTCCTTCATATCCCAACTCCAATATTACAGGTAGTCCTCAACTTACAACAGTTCACTTAGTAACTGTTCAAAGTTACAACAGCACTGAAAAGAAAGACTTATGACCATTTTTCACACTTATGACTGTTGCAGCATGATTTACATTCGGATGCTTGACAACTGACTCACATTTATGACCCAAGGTCATGTGATCATCTTTTGCAACCTTCTGACAAGCAAAGTCAATGGGGAAACCAGATTCACTTAACAATTGTGTTACTAATTAAACAACTGCAGTGATTCACTTAACACATGTGGCCTGAAAAGTCATAAAATGGTGCAAAACTCACTTAACAAATTTCTCACTTAGCAACATAAATTTTGGGCTCAATTGTGGTTGTAAGTTGAGGACTACCTGTACTTATTTAAAAAAAAAAAACAATAATAGGGGTACATTTGATGGAAGTAGTGCAAGATCAGAAGATACGGAGAGACCTGGCCCACAGAATTGCTAAGAGTCAGACACAACTGAATGGATGAAACATCATGATCACATTTGTGTGGTGGCAACATTTACATTTCTCTGAAAAGAAGTGAGTTAGTTAGAAATTTGTATTTCAGTTGGTCCTAATTTCAGCATTTATCTTTTTAAGTCTCCGCTCACAGATTTCAAATTGTAAATTTCTTGGGATAGAAAGCTGATTTGTGTGTTTATAATAAAGTAGACATTGCACCATCCACATAAAGCGTTGAGTGTGAAAAATATTCATGGTTTTTACAATAATGTGTTTCGAGATGCAGTGTGACTTTGAGACAATCAGCTTGTCTCAGCGCAGCCTATTTCACTGGGTTGTTGTGGGGGGAAGTGAGAAAAAGGAGCCCTGCCTTGAGGTCCTAATTAAAAGGTAGGATCCAATAAATAAATTAATCTAAGTGAGCCATTAAATAATAAATTCCCCATGGAATAGTTACAAGGTTTGTAACAAGCCACACCACTTCTGTTCTCTAGTGTTGGTTGCCTCTAATAAAAAAGTGTAACTGAAAAAGAGAAATTGAACAAAATAAAAACATTTTTCCATTTCAATTGGTTAGCTAAGATGTTTAATTTCTAAACCACCCAACAGTTTCTTTGCTCCTTTTAACTGACAAGAATGAACTGACTGACTAAACTCTGTCTCATAAATCTAGGGATGCTAATGAAAATAGGACAGAGGGGTTTCTGTGTTGTAATTCAACTTCGAATCCACCAGCTTTTTGCACTTATTCATCTATTGACCACTACATACATGTAATTCAGGGGTGAAATGCTCCCGGTTTGGACTGGATCGTCCGATCCGGTAGCGATGGCGGCGGGTGGTTTGGAGAACCGGTAGCAAAAAAATCCCTGCCTCCCCCCATGCCCAGCTGAGCCGCACGATCATCAGAGGCTTTTTTTTTTTTTTTACTTTTAAAAGCATTTTTTCGTAGGAAGAGGTTGTAGAAAAAATGCTTTTAAAAGTAAAAAAAAAAGCCTCTGATGATCATGAGGCTCAGCTGGGATCATCAGAGGCTTTTCAAAGCATTTTTTTCTGCAACCTCTTGGCCGAAGAGGTGGTAAAAAAAATGCTTTGAAAAGTCTCTGACGATCTCAGCTGAGTTGCCTGATGTCAGAGAGGCTTTTCAAAGCATTTTTTAAAAAGCCTCTCTGACGATACCAGCTGAGTTGCCTGATCGGCAGAGGCTTTTCAAAGCATTAGAAAAAATGCTTTGAAAAGTTAAAAAAAAAAAAAGTTGGCCACGCCCACCCAATCACATTACCCCCCCACCAAGCCACACCCACAAAACCGGTAGTAACAAATTTTACATTTCACCCCTGATGTAATTGATGTACAAACAACAGAAAAACCTGGATTTTATTATACAGGTAGTCCTCATCTCACCACCAGAATTTAGCTAAATTTCTGTTGTTAATGAGATAGATGTTAAGTGAGTTTTACAACCTTTCTTGCTACAATTGTTGTCACTACATTTATTAAGTGAATCTGGCTTCCCTTTTGACTTTGCTTGTTAGAAGGTCACAAAAGGTGACCACATGACCCCAGGACACTGCACCCATGATAAATATGAGCCAGTTGTCAAGCATCTGAATTTTGACCGCATGACCATGATAATGTTGCAATGATCTTAAGTGTGAAAAACTGTCATAAGTCACTATTTTCAGTGTCATTGTAACATCAAATGGTCACCAACCAAATGGTTGGAAGTCAGGGGCCACCTGAATTTCCTTTCCTTGTCTCAAATATTTTCCTTGCATCTCTCTGCCTAAAAAGCTTCATATTCATTAAATTGATATTCTCAGTATGTTCATTTTTTTTCTGAAGTCAGTTTTCTTTCTCTTTTGACTCTGACTTGTGCAGTTCAAGTACTTATCTGACTCACTCTTTCTTCACAATGCAGGAGAACACCTATCATCATATTGTTACCTTGCCTTTATTTTTCTCCCATACAAGCTGCAGCCTCAGGAATTCTTAGAAAAAGTTATAACTTTGATCTTACTGTTTCTGCCTTCACATTTTTCGCTGTTTATTTTAGTCCAGGGGTGAAAGCTAAAAATTGTTGCTACCGGTTCTGTGGGCGTGGCTTAATTAGTGGGCGGGGCTTGGTGGTACGGTGACTAGGAGGGTGTGGCTTGGTCAGGTGGGCGTGGCCAAGTCAATGTCACTTCTTTGCCCTTTTTTAACCTACAAAACACAACACAACACAACTGACTCACCCACAATATAAAAGCAGCTGTGCTAGACCCAAAATGGCCCCTGCAACAAGCAGGAACCTCACACAGCCACAAAAAGCCCCCAAAAACAACTTTCACACTTTACACACACACAACACAACACAACACAACTGGCTCACCCACAATGTAAAAGCAGCTGTGCTAGACCCAAAATGGCCCCTGCAACAAGCAGGAACCTCACACAGCCACAAAAAGCCCAAAAAAACAACTTTCACACTTTACATACACAAAATTCCACATACAGCTTTGTGAGATTTTGTGTGTTTGTGTAGTTAGAGTGAAACACTACAGAAACACACTAAATCTCAGAAAGCTGCACAAATATTATTTTATTTTATTTTATTTTTATTTTTATATAAAAGCAGCTAAATTTAAAACTTCCTAAACTTTAAATGGCTAGGTCTAAAAAAAAGAACAATAAAAAAAACCCAATTAACTATTTTTTTAAAGCTCCCAAAGGGGAAAAAAACTTACCCAATAGAACAGGGGTCTCCAACCTTTGCAACTTTAAGACTTGTAGACTTCAACTCCCAGAATTCCTCAGCCAGCTTTGCTTTGCTGGCTGAGGAATTCTGGGTGTTGAAGTCCACAACTCCCTGCCTGCTTGATTGCAGGCAGGGAGATTCAGTTGCTTGCTGATGCAATGGATTGCAGGGTTTACAGCAAGGCGTTGCGACCAGCAGCTAAGGTAAGCAAGCTGAGGGAGGAGGGGGAGGGATTTTTGCTACTGATTAGCAGGCAACTCAGCTGGGGTTGTCAGAGCCATTTAAAAGGAAAAAAAGTTTTTTTCTTTTACATGGCTCTGGCAATCCAAGCTGAGTTGCCCGATTAGCAGGCAACTCAGCTGGGATCGTCAGAGCTTGGCTGGTCAGAGCCATTTAAAAAATAAAAAAGGCTCTGATGATCGCGCGGCTCAGCTGAGCATGGGGGGGCGGGGGCAGGGATTTTTGCTACCGGTTCTCCAAACTGCCTGCCACCATCCCTACCTACTCACCCGAACCAGTACGAACCGGGAGCATTTCATCCCTGCTTTAGTCCCATTTTAGGCATGAAAACCAGCTGGGTGACCTTAGACCAAACACTCTCTCAGCCTCAACCTCACAGGGTTGTTGTGGTAAAAATAGGAGCAGGAAGAAGTATTAGGTATGTTCGCCACCTTGAATTATTTATAAAAATAATAAAGAGGAGATAAAAATAAAAGCCAAGACAATAAACTCAGTTTTTTTCCAACTAATAATTTCTTCCCTTAGCATCCAGATGATATGTCAGATTGTTATGATGATTTTACCTTTTCTTTCAACATTATTTTTCAAGTCACGTATAAGATACATTAAGTTTTTTAAAAACAGATATTTGGAGGATCTTGTCTGAATATGCATGAAATAGAGTACAAAATCATGCCTATTTCATGCTCAGTGATCGTGTTCTGGCCCAACAGCATTCAAGATAATACAGGAAAAAGTCTATAAACAGTATGACAAGCATATGAAATGTGGAGCTTCAGGAGATACTTTGTCTGCTCAAATGTCTTCAATAG